GGGGGGGGGGCTCTGCAACTTACCTAGCTGCTTCTTGCTCTTCGTGGCCCAACTGAGGGCTGCTGGGAGCAAGGGGCGGGGCTTGTTGCATGTGCCCAACCCCTGAGCTCCTTACTGCCAGAGCTCCACTCCTGTGCGCTCACGCAGGAAATTACCCCTGTTTACCAGCATCATATATTCTTTAGGAAATGTCTAAGATTACTATTAATATTCTTTTGAACTATAGTGCTGGTGAAGACTCTTGAGAGTCCCTTGGACTGCAAGAAGATCAAATCAGTCAATCCTCAAAGAAATCAACCCTGACTGTTCCCTGGAAGGCCAGATAATGAAACTGAAGCTCAAATACTTTGGCCACCAAATGAGAAGGGAGCACTCCCTGGAGAAGACCCTGATGCTGGGAAAGATTGAAGGTCAAAGAAGACAGGGGCGGCAAAGGATGAGATGGTTAGACAGTGTCACAGATGCAATGAACATGAAATTGAGCAAACTTCAGAGGACGGCGGAAGACAGGAAGGTCTGGCGTGATCTGGTCAATGGGGTCGCAAAGAGTCAAACTCGACTGTGCGACTGAAAAACAAAATATTACTATTTGATCTGCTTATGCTTCCTAGGTGCTCATTTAAAAAAAAAAAATCCTCCCCCAGAGGTTTACCATTTGGGATTCCCCCCTCCCATGTTGCCTTTGGCTCACATGTTGGAAAGGCATTTGGAATGTCCCTATAGCACAAGGTTGTTGTCGGGTTGTAGCAGCCCTCTCCTTAAACAGAACATTATTCACAACAATTAGACTGAGCATCATTACAGTGCTTTTGGTGGCGATCACGCGCGCCAGTAGATGCAACATAGGCGCAAATGCTCAACAGATCTAAAGGGCGTGATCAGACAGCAACATCTGGGAAGCGTCCCACAGCTGTCGGCAACCCGTGCTGATCTGCCGCATACGTGGAGTAAAAAGACATTGGAGGAAATTAGGTAGTGAACGGGTTGTGACGGGCCATGGATGGACTTTCCCCTGTCTGATCAGGCCATCCCAGCTCAGGAGCATCATCACATACCCATAGGGGACCCTCAGTGCGGAGGTTTGATTCCTCATTTATGCATATGGAAAAAAACAGCCCCCCCCCCCAAAAAAAAGATTCACCTGAAGTTGTGTCTGATTCCCACAGTGACGGGCTGAGCCCACAGCTATGAAGGGAGGTGTGCAACTGCAGGCCGAATTACTCCAGAGGGAATAGCCTCGCTTCCCCTCTGCTTCAACTGGCGTGTGTGACCGCAGCCTTAGAGTGTTCAGAATGCCTCGTGTACAGTCCTAACTACAACTCTGTGAGGCAGGCCAATTCATCTTTGTGGCCCAGTTTTGCCGATGGAGGCGCTGAGGTATATCGCCAAAGTAGAAAAGGCCGTTTCAGCTCAGGAATTCTCTCCACAACGCCACTTTCCCATTTGTGTGTGTGTCGTTTTCTTTACATTTTTGTGGCCCCGGTCACACGGGCAGGAAAATGCGGGGGGGGGGAGCATGGCTGTTTGCCCCGGGGCAAAATAACGCGCGGTTGCGCGAGCAGACGTCCCGTGGAGGTCCCGTGGTTGGGGGGAGGTGCCAATCACAGGACAATCCTGCGGCGCTGCAAAGAAGCGGGGCCGCAGGGCAAATGGGGTTTTGGGGTTTTTTTAAACTAAAGTGTGCGCATGCTCCGTTGGGTGCTTGTGCGCATCCATGGAAACCTGGGGGGGGAACCTTTTTGCGAGGGGACATCGGCGGGCGCCGGAACTACCACCGGAAACGCGATCAGACACCCGCCCATGCCCCACGGTTTTCAGAAATTAGTACCTTGGAGGTACTAGTTTTTTACCCCGCATCTTTGGAGTGAAGCCTCGGGTGAGCCACGGGAGCTCTACGCTTCCCAGATGTGGCAGTGAGATCGCGCCCTGAAAATCCGCCTATCTTCCGTCTCTCTAGCATGCCTAATGCTCCGTGTGACTGCAGCCTAAATTTATTTGCTTTGTTTATACCCTACTTTTCTCCCCAGTGGGGACCTAAAGCAGCTCACATCATTCCCCTGTCCTCCTTTTTTATCCTCACGACAGCCCCGTGAGGTAGGCTAGGCTGAGAGCGTGGGACTGGCCCAAGGTCACCCGGTGAGTTTCTACAGCAGAGTGGGGATTCAAACCCAGGTTTCCCAGATCCTAATCTGACACATTAACTGCTAAACCATGCTGCTTCTTTGTGCGCTAGCTCCACAATCCCATTCACATTGACTCAGGAGCAGTGTTCCCTCTAAGCTGAGTTAGTGTGAGCTGGCTCACCATTTTTTAGCCTCCAGCTCATGCATTTTTGTCTCAGCTGAGGAAGGAGGGCTCCAGAGCAAACTAATTTATGCAGCGACCAAATCACCTGCTCACAGCTTTAATGCCAGTAGATCACAAAGCAGGATTTTTGCTCACAAGACTCCACAGCTTAGAGGTAGCATTGCTCAGGAGTAAATCCCATTGAATCCAGTGGCTTGAATTCTGAGTAAACATGCCTGGGATCAGGCTGGACTGAGTGAGGCTGAAAAAGCATGCCTTGAGTTTCCTTCCCCTTTGAAGGCCTGCAGTCTTTTCCCTCCCTTTTAAACTAGAATAAAGTCTCTGTTCCTTTAAGAAGTCTAAAGAGCGCTTTCTGATCCACATGACATTAGATTAGAGAGGGGCGGGCGCTCCTTGGGCCCATCCATGAGACAGAAGGCAAAGTCGATTTCTGATGTAGTTGGTTTTTCAATCCCTTCTTCGGTTCTCTTCCACAACTAAAAAATCAGGTCAGACTTCAAAACCCAAGTGAACTATTAAGCTCAGAAATTACCACTCCAGGGGAGGGTAGCCTTTCATTCATAGGAACCCAATGAAATCAAGCCTCCCTTGTTCTGCATACATGCCTGGGCTGTGATTTTTAAACAGCTTGGGATTTCGAACGAGAGGAAAAAATATCAAGAAGCCACAATTGTTCCCTCGATTACCCAGGGTGCAAATCAGTAGTATCTTCAGAGGAGACAATGGAACTACTTTTGAGTTACACCAGGGTGCAAGAGGAAAAAAGCTGTTTAGCCTAATTGTGAGCTTCAGGGAGTATTCATGAGCTCCAAAGTCAAATGCGATGAATATTTCAGCGCAGTTGGGCTGTGGTTAGGCATGGCTGACATGGAAATGGCTCTTGAGTTGGAAACACTGTGCTTTCCGCTGCCTACGCTGGCCAAACTGGACTGTCTGTGCACAAGGGAATAACTGGAAATGCATCAAAGGTCAGAAAAAGCAGGGGAGGGCTTTTCGACTGCGGTCGTCAACAGAGCTACAGCCTTCTAATGCCATTGAAGTCAGAGGGCTTACTTTCCTCAGGATTGCGCTGGGTGAGTAGTCAAAAATGTCAAAGGGTAAGCTGGGAGTTGTCGAGTAAGAATCCCTATACTGATTTAGCACTATCAAAGTTGGACTTCATGGGTGGGTGGCAATCCAGGAGAGGTCTGGGAGCTACTTCTTCACCCAAAGAGTGATTAACACATGGAATTCACTGCCACAGGAGGTGGCGGCGGCTACGAGCATGGGCGGCTTCAAGAGGGAATTAGATAAGCATATGGAGCAGAGGTCCATCAGTGGCTATTAGCCACAAGGTATAGATAGGAACTCTCAGTCTGGGGCAAGTGATGCTCTGTCTTCTTGGTGCTTGGAAGGGCAACAGTGGGAGGGCTTCTGGAGTTCTGGCCCCACTGGTGGACCTCCTGACGGAACCTGGTATTTTTGGCCACTGTGCGACAGAGTGTTGGACTGGATGGGCCTTTGGCCTGATCCAACATTGGCTTCTCCGATGTTCTTACATTCTTATGTTCATGGCCCCAAAGCTCTGGAACTCACCCCAGGGAGAGTCATCCATCTCCTTCTGTTGTCCTCTTTCGCCAGCAGGTAAAGACATTTCTGTCTCACTTTCTGTCTCACTCTGCATTCCCTCAGCGATCCCTCCTTCCTAACCAAGTTTTTAATTGCTTTTTAAGATCTTCGTATGCATTTTAACTCTTTTTTAAAAAAATTGTTTTAATGATGTGTCCTGGGGGGGGGGTTGGTTGGTTTCAACGGTTTTTAAATGTAATTTTATCGTGTAGAGGGTGGTGGCTGTGTGGAAGAGGCTCTGCTCTGTGTGCAGGAGGTCCCAGGTTCAATCCCCGGCATCTCCAGTTAAAAGGTCAAGGCGGTGGTGATGGGAAAGGCCTCTGCCTGAGACCCTGGAGAGCCACTGGCAGTCTTGAGTAGGAAGTACTCTTTGATGGACTGAGGTTCTGAGTCGGTATCAGGCAGCTTCATGTGTGAAATCATTAGTCGTTTTGGTGGCCCTCAGAAGTAAACTGGGAGTCACTGTAGGTGGAACAAAACTGGACTCATACGGTCCTTACAGCCCACTCCATACATCTGATGAAGCAGGCCACGATTCACAAATGCTGGTGCCACAGTAAATCGGCTGGTCTTTAAGATGATATGTGATGAATGAAGGAAGAATCATGCAGCACCTTAAACACCAAGCAATTAATTTGTGGCGTAAGACTGCTGTGATTGTAGCATGCTACCTCTCACAGCCATCCATGACTGTCACTTTCAATGCTCCCTCTAATTCTTTGGAGTCTTGTGAGCAAAAATTCTACTTTGTGAGCTACTGGTATTTAAATTGTGAGCAAGTGATTTGGCTACTGCATAAATTAATTTCCTCTGGAGCCATCTTTCCTGAGCTAAGACAAAAATGTGTGAGCTGGAGGCTAAAAAACTGTGAGCTAGCTCACACTAACTCAGCTTAGAGGGAACACTGGTCACTTTCCCACATTTACTATCTGCTGCACACACCATTCATTCCCCTGAAGGTCTATAATACTGAAGACCAGGACAGAAGAGGTCTACATCCTTCTCTTGCATTTGAAATTCAATTGCATTTGAAATTTCTTTATCGTGTACAGAAATGCTGCAAAATTTTGTGCCTTGTCTTCTAGGAAGCAGAGATCTTGAACACAGCGATTCTCAATGGGAAGACAGTAGCTGTTCCTGTCAAAGTGGTTTCGGTGGAAGAGGACGGAACGGTCATGGATCTTCTAGATTCAGTAGAGTGCAGGTCTTCCGACGAAGATGTGATTAAGGTAGGGCACGATGCTTCAGCTTTGCAAATGCACCCACCAAAGACCCTTATTCACAACTTTCCTAGGGGTGCCTCCAAAATTCTCCTCTGAATTTCTCCTTAGATATTAGTGTTCTGGGTCACTTGGTGCTGTTTCCAAAGAGGAGCCAATGCGATAGAAATCCTCCATTGTTTCCATTTCTTTTAGAATCCTGAATTTAGCAGAAAGTGATTTTTTTCCAGAGCTTGCGCACGATTCAAATCCAGTATCAAAGACCAACAAGATTTCTAGGGTATGAGGTTTTGAGAGTCAAAACTCCCATCATATGCATAGCTTCACTCCCTGACTTTTTGTGGTTGGCTCCTCCTTCTGGGGCTTTTGTGGTTGCACTCGTCACCCTGTGTCAGGTTCCAAAGGTGGCGTCAGGCTCGAAAAGGTTGGGGACCTGGTCTGTTTAGTTCTGTATTATCTTCTCTGACAGCCAACTCGGTGGCATTAGGCACAGAAAGGTCTTTCTCAGTGCCCGCTACCTAAGATGGTTGGACTGGACATGCCAAGGATTGACAGCTATACCTTCTGCGTACAATGCAGGCACGCTAGCAACAATGCGTAGCCTTCCCCCTTGAGTGAACGATATTTTGCGAAACCATCAGACCGGTGACCTCTCTCAGTATTGTCTGCTGCTTGGCTGCGGTTCTCCAGGATTTCAGGCTGAGAAAGGTCCTTCTCGGCGCTTGCTGCCTCCTTGTACTGGAGATGCCAAAGATCGAGCCTTCTGCATGGAAAGCAAGCTCTCTACACCACTGAGCTGTGGCACTTTCCAAATCGTGCTGCTAAAACAATGCATGCCTACGTCCCGGGAGCTATTCCAGAGCGCGCTTCAGCTCCCTTCTCACACCTTTGGCTGGCTTTCGTCCACTCTGTTTGCATACTAATCCTTCCGCACATAAGATGAGGTCGGGCAGCTTGAAATGTCTGACACGCTATATAAAAATCATTGCAGGGCTCCCGTTTAGCTTAACGGTTACAGATCCAGCTATCACGCTGGCAATATCTGATTAAACACGACTCGGCCCGGTGTCTTAATCCAGGTGGCCTTATAAATCTGCCACTGATTTGGAAAATGGATTTATTTAATGTATGTTTAAGATAAAGGAGGAGAAAGAGGGAGCAGAGAGGCCGCAGAAGGCTCTCTTGCTGCATAGGTGATTGATTGGACTTTTGGTTCTTTGAAACCAGGAAATCAGAGTGAGCCTTTTCAAACTCACTACGCAGAGTGTGATCCTGCATGTGGCAATATGTGTAGGACTATATGTGCAAGGGCAGTTCTCTGAACATAGGATACGTGTGGGGAGGGGGAAGGTAGTAGGGTGATTCTGCATGCAAAGCAATATGCGTGGAAGGAAAAGAGGAAAGGGGACGGGCTTCTAACTCCACAATGTTTTACTTCCCCAACAGTGAATCTTATTATTAATTGATTGGCTGGCTTAATCCATTTGCATAGCACCTCTGCAAAGGGAAAACACATCAGTTCTAAAAACAATGCAACAACCAATGAAAGCGGTATAAATGTTTTTTTCTAAGAAACATTTGACCTAAATTAAAAGCAAAAACCCTAGGTTAAAAAAAAATCTAATCTTATAAAATAACAGCAAAAATGTGGAATCCCACCGCAAAAACTCAGTAGAACTTTTAAAAAATTTCCAAACCAGAAGGTCATTTTTACCTTCCCTCACCACTTTGGTGTAGTGGTTAGGAGCGCGGACTCTAATCTGGGAGAACTGGGCTTGATTCCCCACTCATCCATATGCAGCTGCTGGTGTGACCTTGGGTCAGTAACAAGTCCTTTCAGAGCTGTTCTCAAAAGAGCGGT